GGGGGGGGGGGGGGGGGGGAGGGGGAGAACAGAAATCAAAATTCACACAGAATATAAAAATTCAGAACAAAAAATATATCAGTATACATTAGGAAGATTCATAGAAACAACTATAGTCCATCGCAACACGATAAAAATTCTCGCATAAAAACTGCGTCAACAACACACACGAGAACGAAAGAGTTCACGTACACACGCGATTGAAGGAAAAGTCGAGAAGCAAAATCCACGACACAACACGAACAATAACGCTACCTCAACAGTATTAATCAGACACATAGAAGAAGGAATACGGAAGGAGGAATTACTCGGAAATCATCATTTGTCAAATCGTTGTGCCGATATTCTTCGAAGGTATGTTACGATCTTTACGCTCCAATCTATTAAAAATGATCCCTAGCTAGAATTCGTATGAAGCTTGTGGTTGTAGTTCGCTTGACTGTTGTTTTTACTCGATTTTGAACCGTATACGAGTGATCGAGTGCAAGTAGGATAAGATGTCGTATGCGAGAGGAGATGAAGAAGGTGAGTGAGCCGCGACGAGTTTTTATGGTTCCGGCGAGAAATCTTGATGTGCGATGGCCGCGAGAGAAGATGGTACGAGAGAGGGTGTGAGCGAAAGAGAAGAAACTGGGAGAGGATGAAGATGACGACTCTCCCTTTTTTTCTTTACCGTTTATGTTTTTCGTGTTGGGTCGGGTGGGCCAGGAGGACACCGACCCAACTTCTTTTTTTTTTTTTTTTTATTTTGTCATAGTTTTTTTTATCTATCTGGGTCATTAACACTAAGCCCATATTGTTTTGTCCACCAAAACAAAATATCATTCTATTTTCTACCTTGTTTAAAAAAAGTTTAATTAGTGTTGGTTTTGGAATTTAAGTTTAATTAGTTAATTTAAGATTTATTTAGTTTTTTGGTTTATTTAGTTTTAATCTATATTTTTAAACTTAATTTATTTTAACTTTTATTTAAATTTTAGTTAATCAATTTATTTAGTTTTTTAAATTAAAATTTAATTTAATTAATTTTCTATTTAGTTTTTAGTTTAATTAGATTTCATTCAATTTGGAATTTGTCCTAGATAATCCTCGTCTCATAGTTAACTTGTGATATTGACTTCGTACAATCTCTTGGCCTGATCCTAGTGATTCTGGATATTTTGTCTTGTTTAATTGATAATATTTATTTGTGATACCTATCCACTGTGATTTAGTTACATGACTTAATGTTTGCTTTATACACATACTGTTTTACTCTTAACTTTACTTAGTTGTCTGTCCAAGTCCAAAAGAAGGATATCCTCCTATTGATTACCATGTCAATATTAGAAAAATCTAAGTCCTTACCCTTATCCTAGCCTTAGGATCGGAGTCGTTGCACTCCATGCAAGCGTCCTGCCATGGACATTCTCTTTACATCCTCATCCTAGCCTTAGGATCGGAGTTGCCATGCTCCTTATAAGTTTCTTCCATAGACACTTATTCATTTTGTTTCTTTTCATCCTAGCCTTAGGATAGGAGTTGTCGCACTCCATGTAAGTTCCTGCCATAGATACTTACCTCTCTTCCTTTTAATTTAACTTAGACTTGGAGTCGCCGCACTCCATGTAAGTGTCTCACTATGAACACTTACCTCCTCCTGGAATCTCGACCACAGTCAAGAGTTTCTCATCCTCGTTGAGGAAAACTATGAATGCTCTGATACCATTCCCGTCAGGATACGTAGGCACGAGATGCAATGTATTGGCGAGTATACTTAGAAATAAACCCTTAGGTTCATGTAGAGATATGTTATATGTCTCCTTTCAACCTTTTAACATATAGCATATAACATATAACAAATAACACAAATAAAACAAGAGGTTTCTGTAGAGTACTACAGATGCTTAGGATGCTAACACCTTCCCTAGGTATAACCAACCCCCGAACCTTAATCTCCCACATTTTTTTACAGTGCAATTAAAGTTTTCGTTCTTTACCCTTTCCTTTGGATAAATCAAAGCTCGGTGGTGAATTCAAAGATTTGTGATTCAAGTTAATTAATAGCTTGACATCCGATTCTAACCGCAACACCTCCCACACAACCATAAAACATACAATAATAATAACATAATACTTTATGTATTAAATAATTTAAATAGGGTGTTACATGAATTGTAGCATGAAGTATCCTTCATCGTTGTAGAACATGTCTGGCAGTTGATCAAAGTTCCATACCTTCTCCATATATTGTTTCGTCGTGTTCATACTCAAATCTCCGCCTAGCACATACATGATTAACACTGATTCCTAGAATTTCATCTCTGATTCTATGTTAGCTTCCTGGATTTCAACTTTAATTTCACCATTTACAATCTTAAGTGTTACAAACTCCATTACCATACCGTTAGATGGGTCTCTGTTTCCACGAACGACATCTACCCATAGTTTCTTCAGTTCCTGTGAGGTTTTTAGGGTTTTCGTTTTCTTTAATTCTACTTTCTCTATTTCTATTTTTCCCAAATTACATTCATTTCTGGAATTTATTCTCTCATCTTCATATGTCTGATGGTCCATTTCAGAGGTTTTTACAAGGATCTCCGTTGGTGAAAACACCTTATTCCGCGACCACCCTCTGCCCTGTGTCATTTTCCTTTTAACCTTCAAACCATTGTAATCTTGTCAATTTGGTCCCTAATCCGAAGATAATTAGGAGTTTAAACCATCTCAGCAAGAGATTCAGCTGTTGAACCCTAAAGATCTACCAAGTCTAAAACTCGTCGAAATCGCTTCACTTGGTTCACTGAATATTACTTGAGCTCAAAACAGAATCTATTATTATTATTATTATTATTATTATTATTATTATTATTATTATTATTATTATAAAAATTTCTCCCATGGGTATTTCATAGAATTTTTAAAAAAGAATGATTGAAGAAATATTCGCTAAAAATATAGCATTTTAATATTATACATAACACGATTAAACAAGAGAGAGATATTTTAAAAAAAATCACATTTTGAAAAACAAATCTCATTGAATATTGAATGAAGAAGTAAATTATATAAATTGAATAGAATATATTCAAAATTCATTGAATACAGATAGACCTTTTAGATTTATAAAAATGAATTTATAAGATATTGTATCAAAGGTAAAAAAATTATAATTTTATAAAATGTGAGATACAATGTTAAAATATTTTTTTAATTAAATAAATTTTCTGAGTTAAAGTTTTAAAATAAATTTATAAGACACAATTTTAATACTGAGAAGATGAGTAAACAATTTATGCTTTTGATTATTTTAAAATTAATATTATTTTTCAAAAGTTTTATTTTGGAAATTTCTTTTAGTCTTTAAAAATATATATAATTTAGAAAATTCTAATATTAAATAAAAAGAAAATACTAACGAATGCTTATGTTAAGAGTTTAAAATGATATATTTTGTTTGAAAATACTTGTATTTAATGTATTGAAAATAAAACAATTGGCTTTTGTAAAGAATAAAAAATATTTTTTTTTTTTTAAATTTGTGTTCAATACAATGTTTTCTTTGTTTTGAATCCTTAAAGAACTTATAGTGCACTCGTTAACATAATTTTAAATAAAAATATTAAATACATTTGAATTATATCCATACCCTAACTAAATATTAAATATATTTATAACATATATTTTAACAATATTATAATAATGATTTAATCATCATAAAATAAAACTTGGTCAAAAAAAATTTTTATAAAGTTTTTAGATATTAAAGGTAATAGAAAAAAATTCATAAAAATATTCGTTATATGACCGGTATAAGGTGTCATGTTTAATATAGTTTGACATTTCAATGATTTTGTGTAGGATACAAATTAAATCTACAGTTGAAAGTTTTTATTAAAGTATATCAAACATATCTATTTAAAACATTAAGTTGAGGAGAGACGGCAATTTAGCTCGTCTTCCTTGGATATTTATAAAATTATATATAATAGAGAGTGTAAAAATCTGCAAAAATAAATATTATTTTAGATTTGGATAATTACTCTCTTAAATGAGTAAAGATGAGTGTGGATAATATATATTTACTTGCTTTTATATCCGCATAATATATATTTATATTTTTTAATTTATATTATTATATAAAAATAAGTGTTTATAAAATTAAAAAAAAAAACATCAATTTTAAATTACTATATATTTAATATAATAAAAATGATTATTTATTTTATAATTCAACAAAAAAATTTTAAAATTTTATAATCTTTTTAAAACCTTAAAATAATATGATATTTTATATTTGACATATTTATTTTTACTAAAAATACGGGTACGGATACATGCACTTATATACCCATAAAATACAAATACAGATGACAATATTGATACTCAAGCGAATATGATTTGGATACAGAGATTTTTTCCAACTACAGATATGAAGACAGATACTATAATATCATATCCAAACCGTGTCTATTATTATTCCTAGAGTTGAAAGTTTTTATTAAAGTTTATCAAACATATAAATATTTTATAGAATATTAAGACTATTTAATATTCTATCACAATATATTTTTTAACTATTATTCCCTCTAGTCATTATTGTAAGTAAATTTTTTTTAAAGATTAATTGAATAATAAATATATCTGATCTCTATATAAATCAGATACACTTATTATTGAATGAAATAAAGTTAAACTCTTTACAAATATATTTAAATATCAAGTATTAAAATATATATCTACAAAGTCTTAAATTATTTGAAACATTGTATTCAAGATTATCATGTTCAACGAATAAATTAATTTAATTTGATTTAATTTATACAAAAGATAATTGAAGGTGTTTTTTAATATCTAGTTTTAGTAATATAATTTTGTAAGTCAAAAAGTAAATAATATTCATTAATAAATATGCTCTTTTTCACCTCAGCAATCTACTATATAAACCAGTCTCTAGTGCATCATATGTAATATAAACAAAAATCAATCTTATTGTTGATCAAAGTAAGATTTTCATCACTATGGCAACTAGATGCTTATGCTTTGCAACAATAATGCTTATTGCAAGTATATTAGTGTTAGGAATTTCAGCTCAATTTGAATGTGGTGGTAACATAATTGCCATTAAAACCCAATGTCAAACTTTCGTTCAAAAGGGTGGGGAAAAGATTCCACCATCAGAATCTTGTTGTGCAGCAATAAAAGATGCTAATGTTTCGTGTTACTGCAAATATGTGACTCCTGCTGTTGAGAGTATGATCAGCATAGAAAAGGCTTTGTATGTGGCAAAAACTTGTCAAGCTCAAAATATTCCTACGGATAAATGTGGAAGTAAGTTGACATCTTTTTATTATCACTTTACAAAAATATTATTTTTTTTTATGAAAAATAATATTAATTTCTATCTGTATTTCTATTCTTTCAGGTTATATTATTCCTCATCCTCCTTCATCTAAGGCTTGAAGACAACATTGGACGCATGAAACTGATGCTCATTAATAAAATAAAAAAGACGCAGAATCAGTTATAAATTTATGTTTTATGTTCCTTTGATTTGTATTTACATTCAGTGATATGGTTTTATTGTGATAAATATAAAAAAAGTTGGAAGGTTTTATCTGGGGCGTGTATTAATTTTATTCTAGTGTTTTTAGCATTTTCAGTATTTTCTCATATAAGTTAAAATATTTAAAGGGATGTGATCTAATCCCAAAAAAAAGTTAGGATAAAGGTTGAAAGAGAAGAAAAAAATAGAATAAAAGACAATAATAAATTATAAGAATTATGATTAAAAAATATAATCAATACCTGTGGGTATTAGTTGATATTTTTTATAAAAATATTGATACAATATTAAAGTTTTATAAATATCAAATAATAACATAGTATTTGTAAATATTATTTTAATTGTATAAATAAATATAGTGACATAAATAAATATGTTTTGTCCGTCTTTTGATTCATATATTATTTTAAATATATTTATTTTTATTTTCTTTAACTGTACCATAATTGTAATAAGGTGTACGCCCGCACGGGTTATGGTCTGGAAACTCATGCATTCGCACGAATACTGATCAGTTATGAACAATTGCTTTCAAAATATAATAAGAATGAATTTTGTTTTGATATTATTTATAAAAATATTTTGATGAATAAAAAACTTAAACTTATTCTCATTTTTAAAAGTATTTGGATATATCAATAAACTTTTTTTGATATATAAAAATAAAGTATAATCTAAAGTATTTAAATTTTTTCCATATATAAACATATTTGTCTCATATATTCTATTATATTATCAATGATTTTATTTTTACTTATTCTCGTGTGTGTGTGTATATATATATATATATATATATATATATATATATATATATATATATATATATATATATATATATATATATATATATATATATATATATATATATATATATATATATATATATATATATATATATATATATATATATATATATATATATATATATATATATATATATATATATATATATATATATATATATATATATATATATATATATATATATATATATATATATATATATATATATATATATATATATATATATATATATATATATATATATATATATATATATATATATATATATATGGAGTATACCAAATGAGAGTGATTTTAAATAAGAGATGAGAGAAACAAACAACCATCATTAAATCATGATTAAACTTATTCATTAATGTGACTATTAATTTCTCTCTGTTATTAATTTGCATTTCATCTCTCTTATTAATTTGATCTAATGATTGTTATTTGTTTCTCTGATCTCTCATTTAAAAGCACTCTCATTTGATATGCTCCATATATATATATATATATATATATATATATATATATATATATATATATATATATATATATATATATATATATATATATATATATATATATATATATATATATATATATATATATATATATATATATATATATATATATATATATATATATATATATATATATATATATGATCTCTTAATTTATTTATTTATTTTGTACTCTTAGTTTTATACTTTTTCTTTCAATAATATATATATATATATATATATATATATATATATATATATATATATATATATATATATATATATATATGATCTCTTAATTTATTTATTTATTTTGTACTCTAAGTTTTATACTTTTTCTTTCAATAAATAATTTTTTCTATCTTAATTTGTGCAAGTATAAGTATGGTAGCAAATATAGAAAATATAAATTAAAAATTAGAGTAACAGCGGCAACATCAATATATTACTAAAATATATATTTAATATTGATATTTTATTTTATAAGTATAATTTGCTCGTATATAAAATATTTTAATCAATAATATATTTTTTTCATTTATAAATATTATTTTTATTTGATATTATTTGTAAAAATATTTAAATCAATATTAGACTTATTCTTGTATATAAATTTTATTTGTAAATTTATTTTTTTTAATTTAGTTTAATCTATTTTAAAAAATAATCAACACATAAAAATTAATTATACAACTTTAGTAACATATATTAATGAAATAATTACATCAATAATATATAGCTCACTTTTCTATATATTATCTTAAAAAATATTGTATCTAAAATTTAAAATAATTTTTAAATAAAAATATTAGTAATATAAATAATTTAAAAACAAAACTTCTTTCTCGTGTTTGAATTTATACATTATTTTAAATATATTTACTTTTATTTTTTTTTACTTGTGCAAAAAATGTAATAATCCGTAGGTTCACACGAATTCTGATTTGAATATCAGGGCATTCGCACGAGTACTGGTGTGATACGTGGTATTGTCACCAAATGTGTTCAATTTAAAAAGAAAAAAATTAATTAGAATAAATAAAGATGAAAAAAAAAAAATTTTTTTTTTTTGGAAAGTAGTCCAAAGCCACCACAAAATATATAGAAAAGAAGGTGTAGTTACAGACACAAAAATAAGGCGGACCAAATCAATGACAAACTCCATAGCAAGAAAGATATATGAAGATCCTAGCAAAATCCATAAGAATGTTCCTATGTACTACATTCTACCAAGTAAAAGCATGTACATGTAAACCTAAGTTAGCAAGCTTGTCAATGCAATGATTACCTTCCCTAAAGATATATGATACCAAAAAATGAATGGATCTAGTATGGTGCAGGGCGTTCACCCATCTGTTACGAAGTCTCCACGGAACCAAAGAAGGTTTCTTAATCGTAATAACAATCAGCTTCGAGTCAGTTTCTAACCAAAGATTATTCTAACATTTGTCTTTCGCAATCTCAATAACGACTATAGCTGCCGTAAGCTCTGCCATAAGGGCATTTCCAACCCCAATATTCATCGAAAAGCTACTAAGGTGACTATCATTAGAATCCCTGTAAATGCCACCACAAGTAGCAACACCCGGAACTCCCACAGAGGCATCATTAGTGTTAAACTTCACCTAGTTCAGAATAGGAGGGTGTCAAAGAAATTCTTTACAATAATAAACTTAGGAGGATTCAACTTCACATTTAAACCTGCAAGAATATTGTAATCCAAACTAGAGATCACACCTTTTTTTAAGAGAGGCGTTATCTGCTCTAGAAACCTCAGTGATCATGGCATTGAAAGTCGTCTTCCATTGCATTCTAATGTTGTTGAACCTAAGATTATTCCTAGCTTGCCAGATGACATTGAAAGTGTGAAAAATCGCTACCAAAATAACCAAGTTACTTTGAGCAGAATGTTTCCCTTGCAATACCTCCCAACAGACATCAATTGAACGAATGCTATGAGAAAGGATTGAAGAAATATGTCTCCAAATATTACCTGCAAACTTACAGTTGAAAAATATATGAACAGAATTTTCAGTGTGAGTCAAACAAAAGCTACACATGGAAGGAAAGCTCATCCCTCTAGCAGCAAAGTTTCCGTCCGTTGGAATTTTTCAATGAACAAATCTCCAAAAACGCAAGGATCTGGCAGGAGGAATAAGGTTGTTCCAAACTAATTTTCCCCACTTCAAAACAGGAGAAAATTTCCTTTTGAACGAATAGGCTGCTTTAATGGTGAGGGCTCCATTGTCGGTCCCAAATACAATCATCCTCGTTTTCCTCAATCAGAATGTGAGTGTTAAAAAGATTATAAATGAAAGAAAAACGCGTGACAAGAGACTGAGAAAAGTTCCATTTTTTATTAGAGATGTAATCCGCAACTTTGTCATTGAAGAAATCCTGATTATGATTATTCCGGTCTAAATTGTGCATTACCACTGAACCATCCCACTTATCCATCCAAAAATTAATGTTCTTGCCATTGCCTAAAAGCCAAGTTGAATTCTCCTTGACATCTCCAAAAGAACCCTTCATACTGCTCCACAAAGATGAGTGTATGTTGTATTTGATGTGCCTTCCTCCTCTCATTACTCTTTGTCGAATAATCGTCGCCCATTGATCCTTCGAATATATCATGTCCCAATAGAGTTTAAGATTCGAAGCATCCTTGAGAATTGAGAATGGTTAAGAAGTGTGGTTGGGCCTAACTCAACCCTACAAAACCAGTTGGTAGAGTGAGGATTGCCCCCACTTATAAACACATGTTCATGCTATATATTGTCCGATGTGGGACTCTTAACAAGAATTAACAAGGATCTAAGGCCCAAACCGTCTTCCTCAAAAAGACGACAACACTTATGCCAAGCAACAATAACCATTTTCCTCTTACCGATATCGTCTCCCCAAATAAAACTCTGCATATAACGCTTAATAGTCTTGAATGCAGAAACATGCCAAGAATATATCAACAGTGTGTGAACGAGCATGCTATGTATGATAGACTTTACCAAAACCAGTATGCCCGCTATGGATAAAAGACTTGCTTTCCAGTTCCAGGCAGCCAGTTTCAAACGAATTTTGTCCGCAATATACTGAAAATGGATTGGTTTCGGCCGACCTCGAAAAATTGGAGCTCCAAGGTAGATGAAGGTGTTGTACCAGAAGTGGAACCCAGAGTATTAGCTATAGTCAACAGCCTAGAATTCAAAACTGAGCCGGCATAAAAAATAGATTTAGAAAGGTTGGCATTCCGGCCAGAAAGCATAGCATATCTCTGAAACAAATTTTTAATAGCCTGAATTGAATTGCCGCCACCTTTGCAGAATACCATAATTTTGTCAGTGTATAACACGAGAGAAGGGATCATCGAATTCTTCGATGCTTTAATCACCTTCAACTCTTATTTGCCACTAAGTTAGCAATTCCCCTACTTAAAACATCTTTTGCCAAACAGAAAAGGAGAGGGGGAAGAGGATCGCCCTGTCGCACGTCATTCGTGCAAGAAAAAAAAACCTTTGTGGGAACAATTGATAGAGACAGATATGGATGCCAAGCTCAGGATGCAAAGAATCCAATTGCAGAATTTTCCAGAAAAACCATAAGCCTTAAGCACC